ATGTATTTCTTCCTATACAAAGGGTCTATGTATACTCGATATGAATATATTATGTATAAGCGAGAGGTCTATGTAAACCTCAATGTAGAAGTAGTTAAAAAGTTTTAAATCTTTCACTAATTTTACCTATGAAATGTAATGATGAATGCTTAGAGGCTAGTCATAGTCCTCTACGAGGATGACGACGCCAGTTAAGTCCAGAGGATGCTCTCAGATGTGACACATAGTGACCATAACGGGTCCTCATTGTTGTCTTTGGAATATCACATTCCCTTACCTTTAACTTATGGTAGCCTAATCTAAGGTCTATCTTAGAGAAATAAGTACACCTAAAGTTGATCAAAGATCATATGTTCTCAAAAAAGGATACTTACTCTATATTATAACTGAAGATATACTTTGATTTTCCTGATAAACAATACTAGCCTATAGTACGAGCATCTACGAATCGAAACGAGTATAGCTATCCAACCAAGGGTTGGGGTACTTTCCCAAGGGAGCAATAGTAAACATAGTTGCTAAATTAGAATTTCGTTCTGAATAGTGATGGTTCAAGAAATTCTCGAATAAGAATAAAGTAAATTCAACTTGTGACACCAAAGTTTTAAATTCAAATAGGGTTTTATCACAAGTAGTAAAACCAATTAAAATAAAAGGGAAATGAATTATTGGGGGAAAGTTCTTGGGGTGTGACCGCAATATATGTTGATGTAAACTAATAGGTGCATGCTTTTGATAGGAAATTAGCAAAACAATGGAGACTAGGCTATGCTTTGGGGTGAATCGAAATTCCATCTCAGTAAACTTATCCCATATTGCATGGGTTCCTCTCGGACATTCACTCGTCTAATCTATCATGCTTACTCCTTCCCCACACCCGCTCTTTCGATGTAAGGTGCTTGGATATGAGGCTAGGTCTCACCCTCTCGGGTTGTGTTATTGCCACCTTACTCTTTAGGACATCATTCTAGAACTATTTGTTTAGAGACCTCTATCTATCGAGAAAGCTGAAAACACGTTGGTGGTCTTGTATTTGTAACTACAAACCTATTGACTTAAACCACAAATGTAACGCCCTAAAATGAACTAAGGTAAACTAGATCCTCATGAATATTTCTTGAGTTAATTTTTTTTAATGAGTTACTTTATTGTTTTAAGTCAGTATCTGGAGTTTGGAGGTCAATTGTCTAATAACGTCCATGATGTTTAGAAGATATGACTTAGAAAGTGTTCTTTCATCTTGATGAGTTTGAGTGAGTTTTACGTGTTCGTTTTCCTTGAAAGTGATGTGGGTTGTTACTATGACCTGGACGATTTAGTTTAGAGTTTTAACATTCGGGCACGACCGAACCTAGGACCCTCAAGGGGCCCTCGATGAAGGGCCCAAGACTTAGACAAAAGTGCCAAAAATCACTGCTCTACCAACGAGGAAGTCTACTGGTCGTAGACCTATCCACGCCCCGTCCACTGCAGAGCATAGTCCCATACTTTGTGGGGATCCTAGAACCCCCCCCCCCATGTGTCAACCTCTAAAGCCATTGACACCCAGCACGGCGGGCGTCGCTAGCTTGGTTTGTCGATTGGCTCCTCCCAAAAATTGTTGAAGCTTGCTGCCAACTTGGGGTGTTTTGTGTAAATTCACCCCAAGTATTCATAACCCTAGGTAAATATTTTTATTGTTTTTAAGTTATATTGTATTTGTTTTAAGTCCTAGACCTAGACAAGACCCCTCACTTCAATACACAAACGCCCTCTCTAATGAAAACTCTCCCAAAGTCACCATTGGAGCTAAGACTCAAAAGGAGCAAGAAGGGATAGTTTGAACGTGTATCTTCATAAAAAAATTAGTGGGTTTACTTCTATTTAAGGTATGGTATCCATATTTAAACCCTCATTCATTCAAGGAGTCATTTCCAAAAGATTTAAAAGGGTTTTCAAACTCAAATTCCTCCTATATTTGATTTTAAGCATGGGTCTTCTTGAACAATTGTTTAATAATTCAAATGTGTTTATTCTAGTATGAATTGATGATTTTAATTTCTAAACCCTAAGGAACTCATCTATGTACATATTTAAAAATTTTAGCTTAAGAAATGGGTTAAATGAACATGTTTGGGAAGTTATCCCCTTTGGTTTACGTATGTTATTATATTGATTTAGCTACTGCACTAAGGGACTTAGTATGACCAAATATTGAGAAATTGCTTATGGGTGATGATGGTTTGGTTATATGGTGAGTTGCTTATATTGTGTAATCCTTATGAGAAATTGCTTTTGAGTGGTATGGTCCACCTTTTTTGTGGCGGTATTTATTTTATGAACTTGATATTACTTAGAATGCTTTGTTAGCATGTCTTCTAAGGACAACTATATGAAATGAATTTAGATTGAAGATAAGTCTTTCCTTGTGTTTTGTGAAGTTATAAATTGTATGTTGGCTTCGATTGTGCCTAAGTAAAGTATATGAATTTATGAAGCATGTCAATTGTTTGAATTGATGAATCTAGGTATAAAGCATGTATAGAAAAAAATGTTAATTGAATTATTATTATATGCATGATGTGCTAAAAATGTACACACACACATCCGAATAAATGTGTGAAGCTAAGTTGAGTAGGTAGAGGAGTCTTGGGGTGAACACTATTTGTGAGTTGAGAGGAAGTGTTTAGTAGCAACCTCACTACATCCTAAGAGCTTTCTAAGATAGGTTTGAGGATTAATGTCTTTTGTGAGTTGAGATGTGATATTCATTAGCTATCCTCAACCTATAGTTCGAAATTTTTAGAATCCATGGGGGTTATGTCTAGCATCGAGAGAATATTAAGGAAAGGTGGTTACACTTCATGAGTTGAGATTTTGTATTTCAGTGTACCTCTTGATATGAGTACTCTTCGTTAGTACAGAATGAGTTACTTAGTAACAATCTCTTTATCCGTTAAATATACGCCCGCGTAGGTGTAGCTATTGGGAAATCCATGTAAAACCTAAAAAGAATGCCTTACTCAGGGAAAGAGAGGATCCCTCATTCGATAGGGGTTAAATTCGGGATTTAATTTCTAGATATCATGTTGTATGTTGGTTAATCTAAACTCCCACAAAAAGAATTTATTGAAATAATCTTCTAAAAGAACGTGCTACTTAGGGTAGGTGGTGGTATGGGACGCTATTTATCGATTGCACTAGACGGGACCTTCTGAAAGGGAAGACTTGGTGCAAAGCCTTCTAAAAGAGTGTACTACTTAGGGTAGGTGGTAGTATGGGATGATATCTACTCATTTCACTAAGTAGGCATTCTGAAGGGGAATACTTTGGTGTTTTGTTGGGTGTTCTTCTATTGTATTGCTAGTGAGTGGGTGCTTGTTATCCCGAGGTGAGTATGCCCATAGGAAGAAGTCTTGAGGTTCGTTTTGGTGTGTATTGAAGGAGGTATGTGAGTACTTCCTTCATGTCTCACCTTACTAATTCTTAGGATGACCTTTGAAGGGAAACTCCTATGGAAATAATGCTTATTCCTTATTGGTAATACTTTGGAAGTTCACTATTTTTGTAGTCTCTTTAGTTCACTGTAATTTTTGGTTTAGTTACTATAAATTTGATTAAGTCATTGTAAAGTGTTCAAATTCAAGGAAAGCCATTAGGACCACTAAGTGGGAATAGTAGTATGGGATACTACTCTCAGAGTGAACTTAGTGTGACCTGTAAGTGACCATTGGATGAGGGCACTTACATAAAGTTTTATGAATGTATGTTTGGTCCTTCTTTAGCAAGGAGTGTGGATTTGATTCCATTACGAATTAAGGCTATGGTTGTTTGTCTTAAAGATACTTTTGGTGTGACTTGAAGTGGGTGTAAAGTGGCCCCTTTTTCCTTACTATAGGGAATCTTAGGATAACTTGTGTTCGAGAAACTTCAAGGGTAAAAGGGTTCACATGACTTGTAGTAGCCTTTATTGTAATGTGTTCTATAAATTCTGAAATGTTGATATTTTTCTATTAAGTGTTAAATGATGTTTCTTATGTTGTTTTACTTCTTAAATCATGAATATTTTACATAAGTTGCATGAAATTTTATTTTAGTAAAATTTCCCTTTTCACATGTTTTTGAATATGCCATACTCAATACATTATTTGTAATAACCCCATACTTTTCTATACCTTATAAGTATAGGTTGAAGGCTTCTTGAAATATTAGAAGGAGAAGCTTGGTAAATTCACTCTCTCAAGAATTGGAATGTTCTCATATATTCGAGGACATATTTTATTGCTTCCTAGTTTTATTTTTAAAACTTATTATGTATTTCTCTTTCAATGTAAAAGGTCAGGTCCCTAAGATATAATGTTGAGTCTTAAGTTTGGCTTGTGACGATAAGATCTCTTAGGTACTTATGAAAGATTTGCTATTTATTCATATTTTCATGAAAAGTTTTAATTTCGTACTACTTTTCATGTCTTGTGTAATGAACGATAGTTGAAGGGCTTGTAAAAGACCCCAAAGGGTCAAGTACGCCCAGTCATGAAACAAGGGTTCCTCCTAACTTCTAGGGGATGCTTTCAAATCGTGACAAACTTTGTATCAGAGCATAAGGTTTATGGGAAATATTTTAGTGTCTATAAAGTCTCACAAGCAACATCTAGTAATATATTGGTCATTGGTGTGAGTCGCGACACATACATGGACAAGAGGCTATAGGATGATACAAGTTCCACTTTCTTCTCTATTCTAATATCGTGCCTTAGAGTTGAGTAATATAAGGTGTCCTTTCTCAACCTCTTCTCTTTGTGTTTATAGGACATTAATATGAGGATATCAACCACTAGAAGGGAGAGGGATGTTTATCTAATGAGAGGATCGCTCCCCATGTTGGCCAAGTTCCTATTTTTCGCCTAAAGGAAGAAAATGAGAAGGTTCCCCTTCAAGAATCTAAAGTGCATACGGAACCCCAAGAGCTTCATGTTCCCCAAGTGTTTCCTATGCCTCAAGATCCTTTTGTTGAAGGAGATATGACTAATGCGGAGTTGAGGGATGCCCTAATGAACTTGACCCAACTCATGACGGCTCAAGCTCAAGTCGTCAACAATCACTTTGTTGCCCAAGCTAACCAAGGATTTGAATCTCAACCTAATGTTAGTACTCCCGCTTCTAGAATTCGGGATTTCATGAGGATGAACCCTCCAACTTTTCATGGAACTAAGGTGGATGACGATCCACATGGTATCATAAATGATGTTTTCATATTGGTGGATGTTATGGGTGTGATCCCTTGGGAGAAAGAGGAGTCAGCCGCTTATCAACTCAAGGATGTGGCTCAAGTGTGGTTTGAGAAATGGAGGAGTGAGAGACCATTAGAGAGAGATCCAGTTGATTTGGAGGAGTTCAAAGAGGCTTTCCTAGATAGGTTCTTTCTCCTCGACTGGAGGGAGAAGAAGATGGTTGAATTCACGATCCTTCGTCAATGGGGAATGAGTGTGCAAGAATACTCTCTCAAATTCACCCAACTCTCTAAGTATGACCTAACACTTGGTAACCAATCGTAGGTCTAGGATGAACAAATTTGTGATGGGAGATCTACCTTGGTGGAAAAAGAGTGGCGTACGGCAATGCTTCTTAATAACATGGATATCTCTAGGCTCATTGTCTATGCACAACAATTTGAGGAGTCAAAAATTAGGGAGATAACGAAAGAGGGTAAGAGCCTAGGTAGGATAATTCTAGTCACCAAAAGCCTAAGAAGAGTTTATATCCCCAAGACTCTTCCATGGGAAACAAGGATAGGGATCCAACCCAAAATCCCCAAGGTGGTGGCCATTCTTTTGAGAGGATTAGGTGCCCTACTTGTGGGAAGCAACATTTGGGTAGGTGTCTAGCCGAACGGATGGTTGTTTTGCATGTGGTAATAAGGGCCACAAGATGAGGGACTTCCCTAACATCAAATCAAGAGGGAAAGATGTCAATCAAGCTTCCTTAGATCCTAATGCTCCAAAGAAGAACCCTCTTTATGGGATGGGAGCTAGGAAGGATAACTAATTTAGAATTGATGGTTTTGGTAAGTCTTATCCCTTTATGATTGATGTGTTTGTGTTATGAAGTGATTTTATATAGTTTCATAGTTCATATGATCATGTCATCTTTATTAATTGCTCAAAGAATGGAATTTTGAAAAATTGTAGTAAGTTTGGCAATGTTACAGTGAATGTTCACTATGTGAATTCTGCATTTCAGAAAAATTTGTCTCGCTTTAATTGAAGTTTCAATGTGTGTAAATTTTTTTATGTGTGCATGTTTAATGATGGAGAAGGTAGTTCCTCCAAAAAAGAAGGTTAAGAATGAATTTTGACTTTTTGAAATTTTGCAAAGAGTTGCTTGTGTTGCTAAGTGTTTGAAAGTGTGAAATGATGCTCCTTGCTAGTTTATGCTTTGGTTTTGATTTTTTATTATCATGATTTTCATGTGATATGTTATGCTAAGTGAGTCCTTGTTATTCTTGAAGTTTAAGGGTCATTCAAGAACGATTGTTATTCTAAGTGGGGGGAGAATGTAATGCCCCAAAATGAACTAAGGTGAACTAGAGCCTCATGAGTGTTTATTGAGTTAATATTATTTTAAAATGAGTTACTTTAGTGTTACTAGACAGTGCGTTAAGTTGGTTAAGTTTGAAGAAAAATCATCTAAGAACGTCAATGACGTTCAGAAGATATGCCTTAGAAAGTGTTCTTGCATCTTGATGTGTTTGAGTGAGTTCTACGTGTTCGATTTCCTTGAAACTGATATGGGATGTTCCTAAGACCTATATGACTCAGTTTAGGGGTTTAAATATCGGTCACTACCCCATCTAAGACCCTTAACGGGCCCTAGATTAAGGGCCCAAGACTTGGACAAAACTGCAAAAAATCACTGTTGCATCGATGAGGCAGTATACTGGCCACAGACCTATCGACGCCCCATCAACTAGGGGGCGTATTCCCATATATAGTGGTATTTATATCCACCACCACCACAACCACCACCCCATGTAGAAGCCTCTATAGACATCGACCCTCAGCAGGGCGGGCCGTCGACCAAGCAACGCCACGTAGCTTTGGTCGTCGATTAGATCCTTCCAAAAGCTGTTGAAGGTTGCTGCCAACTTGGTGTGTTTTGTGTAAATTCACCCTAAGACTTTTATAACCCTATGTCAATATTTTTAGTGTTTTTAAGTTATATTTAAGTTCGAGACGTAGAAAAGACCCCTCACTTAAATATTCAAACTCCCTCTCTAAAGAAAACTATCTCAAAGTCACCTTTGGAGATAAGACTCAAGGTGGTCAAGAAAGGATGGTTGGTACGTGTATCTTCATCCAAAATTAGTGGGTTTCCTTCTCTTTGAGGTATTGTACCCATCCTTGAATCCTCTTCCATTCAAGAATTCATTTCCAAAAGATTTCAAAAAGGGTTTTCGAACTCAAATTCCTTCTATCATTGATTTTAAGCATGGGTCTTCTTGTAAAAGTGTTTTAATGATTAAAATGTTTTATTCTTTTATGAATTGATTATTTTAATTTCAAAACCCTAAGAAGCTTATGTTTATACATATTTCAAACTTTTAGCTTTAGATATGGGTTAAATGAGCATGTTTGGGTAAGGTATGAACTTTGATTTTCTTATGTTTTTATTTTGGTTAAGCTACTTCCCTAAAGTACTTAGTTTGATGAAATATTGAGAAATTGATTATGGGTGATAAAGGCTTGGTTATATGCTGAGTTGCTTATATTGTGTAATCCTTATGATAAATTGATCTTGAGTGGTAAGGTCCACCTACTTGGTGGCGGTGTTTATTTGACGAACTTGATATTACTTAGTATGTTTTGTAAGTGTGGATTTTAAGGCCTAGTATATGAAATGAAGTGATATTGAAGACAAATCTTGTCTTGTGTTTTGTCAAGTTAAATTGTACGTTTGCTTGGATTGTGCCTAAGTAAAGTAGATGAATTTGTGAAGCATATCAATTATTTAAATTGATGAATCTAGGTTTAATGCATGTATAGAAACTAATGTTAATGGAATGATGTTTATATGCAAGATGTTCTCACAATGTACACACTCACCTAAATGAATGTATGAAGCTAAGTTTAAAAAGTAGAGGAGTCTTGTGGTGAACACTCTTCGTGAGTTTAGAGGAAGTGTTTAGTAGCAACCTCACTACATCCTAAGAGCTTTTTAAGACAGGTCGAAGGATGAATGCCCTTCATCAAATGAGATGTGGTGTTCACTTGATATCCTTAACCTATAGTTTGAAATGTTTAGAATCCGTGGGGGTTATGTCTAGCACCAAGAGGATATGAAGGAGATGTGGCTACACTTCGTGAGTTAAGATGTTGTATTCTAATCTTGAGATGAGTACTCCTCGTTAGTGGAGAATGAGTTACTAAGTAGCAATCTTCTTATCCCTTAACTATGCGCCCGCAGTGGTGTAGCTATTGGGAAATCCATGTAAAACCTAAAAAAATGACCTTAGTCTAGGCAAGTGAGGATCCCTTATTCAATAGGGGTTAATATCAAGATTCCATTTTAGCTCTCATGGTCTATGTCGGTTAAGCTAACTCCCACAAAAGAATTGATTGAACTAAGTATTCTAAAAGAACGTGCTACTTAGGGTAGGTGGTGGCATGGGATGCTATCTATCCATTGCACTGGGTAGGACCTTCCAAAGGGAAGACGTGAAGCCAAATTGTCTAAAAGAGTGTACTACTTAGGGTAGGTGGTGGTATAGGACGCTATCTACTCATTGCACTAAGTAGGCATTCTGAAAGGGAATACTTTTGTGTTTTGTTGGGTGTTCTTCTATTGTATTGCTAGTGAGTGGGTGCTTGTTATCCCGAGGTGAGTATCCGAGGAAAGGGAAGAAGTCTTGAGGGTCGCTTTGGTGTTTATTGAAGGAGGTATGTGAGTACTTCCTTCTTGTTTTACCTTAGTGAATCTTAGGATGACCTTTGAAGGGAAACTCCTTTGGAAATGATGTATATTCCTCATTGGTAATACTTTGGAAGTTCACTATTTTTGTAGTCTCTTTAGTTCACCATAATGTTTTGTTTAGTTCCTGTAAATTTGATAAAGTCATTGTACAGTTTTCAAATTAAAGGAAAGCCATTAGAAGCACTATGTGGGAGTAGAAGTATAGGATTCTACTCTCACAGTGCACTTAGTGTTACCTATAAGTACTATTCGATGAGGGCACTTACATAAAGTTTGTATGAATGTATGTTAGGTACTTATTTAGCTAGAAGTGTGGATTCGATTTCCTTACGAAGTAAGGCAATGGTTGGTGGTCTTAAGGATCCTTTTGGTGTGACTTGAAGGGGGTTTATGAGCAGCCCCTTCTTGCCTTCCTCTAGGGAATCTTAGGATAACTTGGGTAAGGGAAATTTCAAGGGAAAAAGGGCTCACATGACTTGCACTATGCCTTTATTATAATGTGTTCCATAAATTCTAAAATGCTGAGATTTTTCTATCAAGTGTTAAATGATGTTTCTTATGTTGTTTTACTTATTAAATCATGAATATTTTTCATAAGTGGAATGAAATGTTATTTTACTAAAATGTCCTTGTTCGCGTGTTTTTGCATATGCCCTACTTCATTATTTGTACTAACCCCACACTTTTCTATACCTTATAAGTATAGGTGTAAGGCTTTTTTGAAGTTTCGAAGGCGAAGCTTGGGAGATTCACTCTCTCAAGAATTGGTATGTACTCATATATTCGAGGACATAGTCTAGTGCTACCTAATTTTATTATTAAGACTTATTATGCATTTCCCTTTTAATTTAAAGGGCCGTGTCCCTAAGGTATTATGTCGTGACATAAGTTTTGCTTGTGACGATAAGATTTCTTAAGTATTTATGAAAGATTTCCTTTTTATTAATTTATTCGTTAAAGATTTAATTCCACACTAATTTTCATGTCTTATGTAATGAACGATTGTTGAAGGCCTTGTCCAAGACCCCAAAGGGTCAAGTAGACCCGGTCATGAAACGAGAGTTTCTCCTAACTTCTAGGGTTGCTTTTGGGTCGTGAAAACAACAACAACCAGGTGAAATCACCATTAAATTACATCTAATCCTTTCAGCTAGTATGACTCAATAATAATATCAACACATATTTCCTATATCACAACCCAAGAATGGGGTTTTTAGCCCCGTATAAAAAAAATGGTCAAATACACTTAGAATGATAAAGAAATCAAAATGGTATATGAAATTATACATTAGTATGAGCAAAGGAAGAACAATGGAGAAGACACACTACCTATTTGAGGAAGAATAACCTCTTTGTTCAAGTCTCCCACAAAACCCTCTCCAAACATGGGAGAAAAATATAAAAACTAGAGTTCTATAAGTGAAATGATAGTAATAATATTCTGACCTCTAAAAATACTAAAGGGTTTAATATTTATGTATTTCAAATAAATTGTTGTCAAATTTGTTCCACGAACTTACTCGTGAATCGCCGAGTGATTCAGTGATTTTCTCTTCTTCTAGTTGGTAGTCGTTTGTGCTTTCCC